TTGTCTTTTTTTTTCCGTGTCCGGCAACGGATCGCAACCCTCAGTGTTGCCCCCGTACCGGACCGGGGACCGGCAACGGGATCGCAAGCCTCGGTGTTGCTCCCACGCCTCGCTCAACCAGTGAGCGGGAACCGGTCTATACGTGGGATCCGAACCCTCGGACGGGAGCGCCGCCGCGCTTCCCAAGCGGCGCACTATCCAGTGCGCCACTGGGCTGGCCCTATTTATGAATTTTTTTAACATACTTTCAATTGGGTTACATTTAGAATCACTGGTTTAATGCCTCGAACATATATAAAAGTATAGACAAATATTTTAAATAGATATTGAAGGAAGACTAAAGTTCTTTGTATGTTTTTGTCACTTTTAAGTACTTGAAGTTTAGGCCTGAGAGCCTATTTGCAAAAGCATAGAATTTCTGGGTATGAAGTCTGATAAAGTCCCTAGTATCTATACACACACACACACACACACACACACACAAAGAAATAAAAGAGGATTGGAGAAAGAAGTCTGAGGTATAATCTAAAGTAATATATAAGGTTAGATCTAAGCTTGTAGGTGAACAGGGTTTTACATTTTGGGTGCAAGAACTTAAGGAGATGGTGCTTAAATGCTTAGAAAAGAGGCACCAGAGTGTAAGAGGTGGGTCCAGCAGTACTGAAGCTAGTGAGGAAAAGGCTCCAATAGTCCACCTGAGTAATTTGCAGTGGTTGGGCTAGGTATTTAGCTGCAGGCATAGAAAAACAAAAGCATTTAAGTAAAGTATTTGAGAGGTGGAATCTTTTTTTGTTTTCTTTTGTTTTTTTGTTTGGTGCCTGGCTGGTAAGGGGATCCGAACCCTCCACCTTTGTGTTATCAACATTACTCTAACCAACTAAGCTAACCAGCCAGCTCTGAGTGGTGGAATCTTTTAACATTGGTTTGTTCATTTATCTATCACTGACAGGTGCTGTATTACATACTAAAAATAAAAAGAGGAATAAATCCTGCATTTTGCTCTTGAGAAACTCAGTCTAGTAGAAAAAAGGTCATCATATACAAACCTGTGTGTAGACAGTACTTTGGGAATACAGGGGAAAATGAGAGAAGGTTTCAGGAAGGAACTGACTAAAGTCAGAAGGTACAAATGACCACCTTGAGAGCCGAAGGCCTTGGCCACACCCCCCCTGACACCTGCAACCAGCCCAGCGATGACTACTGAGCTGCTGCAGGAAACACCCCAGGCTCCCGAACTTGGGCGATGGGTGGATGAGGGTTTTCAGTCATACCCCTCTGACATCTGCACCCAGCCCAGCAATGACCAAGCCACCATTGGAAGCCCCTGGGTATCCTATGCAGGAACAAGGGAGGGCCACAGGCCTCAACCCTGCTCTACCTCCTTTCCCCTCTCACCCTATTTCCTTCCCCTTCCCCTTCTCCTCCTCCCCCCCAGTTGCTCTGCAACCACATCATAGAATGTTAAAAAAAAAAGTAATATTAATCAACAAAAAAAATAAAGAAAAGACAGATAAAAATAACTATTTCCCTTCTCCTCCTCCCCCCCAGTTGCTCTGCAACCACATCATAGAATGTTAAAAAAAAAAAGTAATATTAATCAACAAAAAAAATAAAGAAAAGACAGATAAAAATAACTATTCATGGCCTCACCACCCCAAGACAATTATCAATAATATTTTTATTTCTTTAAGTATAGTTTTTTTATCCTGATTCCTTTACTTAACTTTCTACACTAGCTTTAAAAATTTTTGCAAACATCATTTGGTTGGGAAAGGGGAGATCATAATTAACATTTTTTTAAGTTAGGCTTATTGAAATGGTGATTTGTCAAATATATATCTACATGAGACTTAATTTTTACATCTCCATAAGTCCTTTTGAAGTAAATCAACAAATCGGAACAAAAACAAACAAAAATGACCACCTTGCCTATGTGACCTGTTCGTGAAGTTTATCAATGGTTATGTTTTGAAGAGAAGGCAAGATATATAGCGAATGCAGCAAGTTAGATCAATGGAGGATGAATGATTTAATTAGTCTTTGAAAAGGTTTATGGCAAATATCCTTACTGTGATAAAACTTAATTGAAACCCGTCAGAAGAGTATTTTGGAAAGAACCTATTTTGATGAAAATCCAATGTAAGAAGTTAATCAGAAGCAATTGAAATGGATAGGTCATCTGGAAAATTATTAAACTGTCCTGATGTCCAGATTGAGTTGATGTTTTTGGGGAGAAACACAGGAACCTTTTTATATTCTCACAACTCACTTCTCAGTGTACATGGCTTTTATTTTAAAGAGGGTGCTTGTCTCACTGGAACCTCATTGTCTAATTGGAACAGGATTTTTCAAACTTTTTTTTTCTCCGTCTAGTTTTGGTTAAGAGCTGTCAGATTCTCTGGTCCTATACCCAGATAGGACCAAGATCTTTGCTTTCCTCAAACCTAGATCCTTGCTTTTTCTTATTTTATAACAAGCTGTAATGCATATTTTCTCTATTAAAAATGCTGTTTAATGTCTAAAAGGAGATAAGATAAACTGTTTAGTCAGTTAAAAAAAGACATGAGACTTGTCTCTTACCTTTACTATATTTAAAAATTTTTAACTTCTTTTTAATCTGTATTCAGGCAAAAAATTTTTTCTCATGTAAGAGTCACTGAAATACTATCTCACTTATTTAGGCCAAAACATTTTATTTTTAGAGAGTGATAGTCATGTTACTTTAATACGGTTTTTCCTGACTTTTTTTTTTGGTGTGTATGTGTTCATGTCTGTGTATTTTAGTAGTTCCAGTGGCAACATAAGCAGCAGAAAGGATGAAACAAATGCTCGAGATACTTATGTTTCATCTTTTCCTCGGGCACCAAGCACTTCTGATTCCGTGCGGTTAAAGTGTAGGGAGATGCTTGCTGCAGCTCTCCGAACAGGAGGTAAGTTTAGTGTACGTTGTTTTATTTCTCAGTCCTTTGATTACCACCACCACTGCCATCTCCACCTCCATATTGCTGTTTTACAAGTGTTCCATTGATAGCTGCTTACCACTGCTTAGCTCAGGGAGAAATTGTTGCTAGTAGGGGTCCCTGAAGTGAGAAAGGAATAGGAATATTGGGGCATCTGTTTTTTACTACCAAGAAATAGATTCCTTCTAATATTATGGATGTTTCGTAGTGATTCATAACAATTTAGGGCTGGCTGGTTAGCTCAGTTGGTTAGAGCGTGGTGTTATAACACCCAGGTCAAAGGTTTGGATCCCTGCACAGGCCAGCCTCCAAAAACCAAAACAACATAGTAATTTAAACTTTTTTTCTCACAAATTTTGTTCCCCAGCATTTAATCTGCAAACTAATTACTCTGCCCCCAGATTGAGAGTTAACAGTACTGAATGGTTAAACGTTAGTATAACATATGGTATGTAAATTTTATATTTATAATTCCATTTTCTACTTTTTTTTAAAGTAGAAAATCCATCTTGATGTATATATGGGAGCTTAATTTAATTTGAAGGTATCCAATCTTAATATGTATTTAAAGTTTCATATATGGGAATATTTATTGTCTTATACAAATTCATCCTTTTTCTTTTCAATTTTTCTGAACCATAGTTAGTTTGACTTATTTTTCTCCTTACTCCGCCCTTTCTACTTTGATTCCCTTACTGTCTCTTATATATATTTTTTCTTTTTTTCTTCCTAGTTTCTATTTCCTTCTATCCTTTTGAATATTTGTATAGGAATCTTCTGAGTGTGTCCATGTATGTGATTGGCAGATGAAATGAATGGTTTCTTTGCCTTGAAGCCTGAGTCACAGGAGACAAGACAGTTCTTTCTATAACTTTCTCTACTCTCTACTGGAGCAACCAGAATTTATGGAGTTATGAAGTGAGGAATTGCCTGCTAGATCAATTACTTCCCCACTCCTGAGGGATAAGGAGTCATCAATGCAGGAGCACTATGGATATTAGGTGAATCCCAGAAGAGTCTAGTGGGTAGTAAAGAGACCAGATCCTTATGAAACTAAACTAAAAGGATTCTTTATATAAGGCAAATGGGGTTGACGAAATAGGAATGCAGTTTAATTACCCTGTATTGGAATTTTCTTTTATTATGTTTCAGTAACTTGATAATTCTTTTTGCCTGTTTTTAGATGACTACATTGCTATTGGAGCTGATGAGGAAGAATTAGGATCTCAAATTGAGGAAGATATCCTTTGTGTGTATATTCATAATTGTTTTAAGTAATCTGTAGGTAATTTTTTCTTCTGGTGTAGAATTCGAAGTTTTATTCTTCAGCTTCTGTCTTGATTGTATTGTTTTGATTGGAAAGGAGAGGGGCATCCATGCCACTTTTTTCCTCTTGTTCTTCTTGCCATTCAAAAGTAAAGCACATACTGTTGATGGCATTTTAGTTTTTCTGCCTTGCAAAATGAGAGTGTAGCATCCTAATTGAAGTTGTACAAAAGGGTGTGGAAAAGACATACATGTAGATATGAAAATTTATCAGTTGTGGAGACCTCAGCAGAATACAGACAGTCCCCGGAGCTTGTTATCTCATGGTTCATTATCCTGGAGGGAAGTGTGTTCATGCTGGGCACCATGGAGAGGGTTATGGGGGAGGGGTCCTGCTGTGGGTAGGGGAGTGGGGAACATCTAGATGACAACGTGACATTGGACTGTCCTGGTTGAGGAAATGGCCTTGTTAAGAAGGGAGCTCCTTCTGGGCCCAGCCACTGTTGTGTTCTGTTCTTCTGTGGAGAAGAAGAACCTGCTAAGCTAGCTTCCTGCTAAACTGGGGAAGGAGATGAGCCTCCAGAGCCACCATAAATGGTATCTTCTCAGAAGGCCCCAAGGGAACTGTGTGGCCATTGAGACTTTTAAGATCCTTAGAGAATTCAGATTTGGGCAAGTTAAAGCTTGTGTAAGTTCAAGCTCCTTTTTAAAAATTTGCTCACTTGGATTGAGTACTTGGGTTACTTTTTGAAACCCTGTTTATTTTACATGCTGCTGCCACTAAACATTATGAAAGTCTTACTCAATCACAGTGTAAAAGTACTATCATTGTTATTTGCCATTTGCAGATCAAGGAATCAGATAGAAACTTTTTTAACTTTATCTAAAGTGGAAACCGTTTTTGTGAACTGCTTAGAAATTTCAGGAATTCTTATTTTGGCAGAGTAGAAAAAATGCTTTTACCTAACCTTTTTTCCTTAATGACCTAGTACCTATATATCAAGAAATAAGGAATACAGACATGAAATACAAAAATAGAGTACGAAGTAGGATATCAAATCTTAAAGATGCGAAGAATCCAAATTTAAGGAAAAATGTACTGTGTGGCAATATTCCTCCTGACTTATTTGCTAGAATGACAGCGGAGGTGAGTATTCCTGAATATAAGGTTTTTGTGATGTGATTCCAAGATGACAAGTGTAAAGCCTATTTGAATCATAAGTATTATATAAATACTGTATATGTAATAAATCACTATTAGCTATTCTGATATATTTATATATGTAAAACAGACAAATACATCAGGTGATTGAATTTATTGGTATCAATATTTTGCCCCTGCTAGGCTCTTTAAAAGTGATTACATTAAATTATGGTCTAACAACAAAACTATTTTACTTTTTATGAGTTCATGTAAAATGAAAGAGTTGAATCTCTAATTGCAAATACACTGTATTCTCTAAGCTTTTTTTCATGGCTAAACACTGTAAAATTGGTTGTGTCTTAATTGATTATTGCTTAAGTTTATGTAGGGAATGATGGAAAAAAAATGAAATTCATAGCTTGTTATTTATAGACATAACTATTCAAAGACAATGCTGTAGTGTGTCTACAGTCTCACTATTTTATTAAGCATCCTAAAGAATGAATTTGTCCTTCTATATAGCTGACAAAAATTGCTATATTTAAAAAATTCTTTTCTTAAAAACCTCACTGAAGTAACTTAAAGCTTTCACAAAGTAGATAACATAGTGTAATGAGATCCTGTATACCCATCACCCAAACTTCAAGTATTTTCAAGAATTTGTCAACCTTTTCCTCTGTCACTTTTTTATTTTTCCTTCTTTTCCCCTGAATTCTTTTCTTTTCTTTTTTTGGCGGCTGGACAGCATGGTGATCCGAACCCTTGACCTTGCTGTCATAACACTACTCTAACCAGCTAAGCTAACCGGTCGGCCATCTGAATTATTTTCAAGCAAATAGATATTATATCCTTCTACCTCTGTATACTTGGGAGGTATCTTTAAAAATACGGTATTTTTTTTTTTTACATACCTTCATTGTCATCACCACGTCCTATGAAGCTAACAATATTTCTTGGTATTACCCTAATGTCTAGTTCATATTCACACTTTCCTGATTGTACATTTACTTTTTATCAGGATCCAAAGTTTACACATTATTTTTAGTTCAGTTTCTTAAGGTTTTATATATTTTTAAAAAGTCTAAAAGTCTCTTCTGCTCCTCACACCACCACCTCCCTCATTTTTTTTTTTCTTCATGACATTGACCCATTGATGAAATCGAATTATTCTGTATCCCAGTGTGAATTTGTCCATTTTTTCCTCATGATGTTATTTAGTTTTTCTTTCGTCTCTATTTTTTTGTAACTGGAAGCTAGTTCTGTAGGCTTGATTACATTCAAGTTCAGCTTTTTTCTGCATAAATACTGCATAAGTGATACTTTTTACTTGAGTTTTGTCACATCAGGAGGCACATAATGTCTTGTTGCTCTAAGCCTGCAGAGATTTGTCAGTGGGTTTGGGTAGTGACGGTCTGATTCCTCCATTGTAAATTCTTCATTAACCTTTCATCTGATGGGTTCATCCACTGATGATCCTTGCCTGAATTGGTTATTTGATTAGCAGCTGAAAAAGTGATTCCTAAAATGCTGTCATTTCTTTCCCATTTATTAACTAGATTTCTTTGATGAAGAAACACTTTTCCTTATAATCTTGGGTTGTTGGCTACCTGTTGATTTGGATAGGAAAGGAAGAGTAAATGTGTAATTCTCTCCTGTTAGTCATCAGATATCAATGAGGAGTTAGTGCCCTAGTTAATGCCAGTGGTGACTTCTGTTTGTTTTGCATGTGGGTGCCCTCTCAAGTACTGTCATGGACTTGTGGCATTTTATTTATCCTGTGGGGATTGGTTCTTTACAGTACTGTAATTTATTTTGATGGCTGAAGAAATTGTCCTATCTTTAAATAATAGGAGTTGCTCTATGTTGGCTCCTGTGTGCATTTGAATGGACAGCAGTAGACTTTGATAGCTTCTGTGCTTTCTGGCATAAGAAGATTGACCCTGGATCCTGTGCATTTCTTGCCTCAAAACTGGAATAAGACATTCCTCCAAAGGTCCCTGGTTTCTTTGTGGGTGGGGAATGGTATTTAGACACCAAACTCTGGATACTACACAGGTTTACATTGTTTATAGCCCTTAAACAGTACTTAAATCCAGTTTTCACATACAAACTTACAAATATTTGAGGAAATCTTAAAATGAAGCAAACTCTTATAAGTCCTCTGAGGAACAATATTAATTTTACACTTTTAGAACTTTAAAAGTTGATTTTGGTTCTGTTATTGTAAGTATATTGAACATAAAAGCATTCAGGACCTATATTGAAGGTGTCTCTAATTGAGTGGTATTGCTACCTCAATAGGAAATGGCTAGTGATGAGCTCAAAGAGATGCGGAAAAACTTGACCAAAGAAGCCATCAGAGAGCATCAGATGGCCAAGACGGGTGGAACCCAGACTGACTTGTTCACATGTGGCAAATGTAAAAAGAAGAATTGCACTTACACACAGGTTTGTGACTGTTTATAGAATATTCTTTTCTTATTAAGAATGCTGGACTGACCAATGCTGATAACACCAAGGTCAAGGGTCCAAATCCCTGTACTGGCCAGCTGCTAAAAAAAAAAGAAGAACGCTTGCAACTCCTGTTTAAAAACAAATAGCCAAGGTAATTACCAGTAATTTGATATTTTTTAAGAGCAGCTGTGATTTCTTAAGTGCGCTTTCTTAATACTAACCAATTCCAACTAATTGAAAATAATTTGATGTATTCATACTTTCATGGAAAAGTTACTATGAAAGCTGTGTAAATGAAATAAAATTTATAAAATATAAGATTTAATAAAATGGCCACGTTTTTTTCTGAGTTCATAATCAGTTGATTACTGGTTACTGTGTAAACAGGCCATAATTATTTTTATTTTGCAGGGCTATATAATTTAAGGAAAATCCTTTAGTTTCCTTCACATGTAGTGTGGGTGCTTTAGGCTTAACCGGCTTCCAGGTAGCTTATTCCTTTATGTAACATATTGATGATCTTTACCTTCCTATATAATGTGGCTAGCTTTTTTATTCTTGAACAGCTGAAAAGAATCACATTAGAGTTATTTTGGTTGTATGTGAAAATGGTTTTTATCACTGTCTTAATTTTATTTGTCAAATAGGTTTTTTGTGCTATAATTTATAATCTACTGAACTTAAAGAACGATTTATTACTGTTTCAGGTAACAGGTTTAGAATTTTCTCACTGACAGAATTAAGCACTTAAAAAAAAAATAACGTTACGAGGCCAGCCCGTGGCTCACTCGGGAGAGTGTGGTGCTGATAACACCAAGGCCACGGGTTCGGATCCCGTATAGGGATGGCCAGTTTGCTCACTGGCTGAGTGTGGTGCTGACAACACCAAGTCAAGGTTAAGATCCCCTTACCGGTCATCTTTAAAAAAAAATAATAAATTTAAAAAAATAACATTTCTAAACTCTAAGTTGTGGAAAAGGACCTTATTTTTAAAAAAAATTTTTTGGTAGTAACCTTCTCAAGGTTAAAAATTCTATAGGTACAGAAGATTGTGAGTGGAAACTTTCCCTTCTGCTTTTGCTTGTAGCCACCTTGTTCCCCTCCCTGGAGAAAACCAGGGTTACTAGTTGGTTGTGTAGCTTTCTACATATTTTATGTGTATACATGCAAATACCAGAATGTTTTTGTTTTCCTGTTTTCTAAATACATATGATAGAATATTATGTGAGCTTTTGCTTCTTTTTTGTTTTTTACAGGCACATAATAGTCCATTTTCAGATATACTTTATTTAACCAGTCTAAAGCTCTTTACCTTTTTGAAGTCTTTCATTTAATCACAGTTGTATATCTGACATTTCAGTGTTTTATTTTGTAGAAGTTTTACTACATCATGATAGTTACTAAAATGTATCAACATACGATGGACATGGTCTCAGGAAATTCTGAGTTTGAATTGCTCTATTTTCTTTTAGTCAGATAGAAAAATCTCAGCATTAAAAACTCTGCCCTAAAAATGCCACATAATTTTAGCTAGAAGGTGAAGATAAAAAAAGGAAAAAAATGCCACATAGTGGGAAGTATTAAGCATAAATAGAAAAGTATTTAAAATTTGAAGCTCCTTTAAAACAAAGTGTGATATATTTACATAATTAGATTATAAACAGCTAAGATAAAAACCATAAATATCAAGTTTGTTTCTTTTAACAGAAAGAACCCGGTCTAGAGGTGAAATTAGTATGATTTTCTTAGAATCAAAAAATGTTGTCTTTAGACAGAAAACTTCCAGAGTTATTGTGAAAATAACACATACAAGAATTAAGTTTAACTCTTGTATGTACCCATCAGACCATTAAAGTTTTTTTGCAGAGAGCAAAAGTTTCTTCATGTCACTTTCAGGGCCCCATATATGAGTATTAAGAATATGTAAAGTATAGAAGAAGGATTTTTTTCAAGCCATTTTTATTTGAAGGCCTTAAATAAGCAGAATCCAGCCATCTTGGGAATGGCACTTTATTTTCCTTTGGGCTTTCTAGTTAAAAGTCATAGTGATAGTTTACAGGTATCAGAAGCTTCTGATCTTTGAAGTGGTGATAAACTGGGATTTCATCATCTTATGCTAATTGTAAATATACCTTATTCAAAATGCAACACTGTTAGTGCTTAGGTTCTTTCCATAACTTTATTAAACTTAAGAATAACTTTTAACTTTAAGTGTCTTGTTATCTTGTTCAGGAATGTATAGTTTAAAGAAATAACTTCTGTCTTTGAGACCTTTGGTTCCAGTAATTCTCTTCAGTGGAGGACTTAGAAATCTATAAACTTTGTATAGATAAAAATTGTAAAAATCATATTAGCTTTTGTTTTCTTGTGGAGTTCTTTTTAATTTTTTAAAAATTTTTAGTTGTGGTAGTATATACCTAACTAAAATTCACTGTCTTAGCTATTTTTAAGTGTACAGTGCAGTAGTAGAATATTCACAGTGTTGTGCATCCAATCTCAAGACAGAACATTTTTTCTCTTGCAAAACTGAACATTATATAAATGGAATCATACAGTATTTGTCTTTTTGTGACTGGCTTATTTCACTTAACATAATGTCCTCAGAGTTCACCCATGTAGCATGTGTCGGAATTCCCTTCCTTTTTAATGCTGAATAGTATTCCATTGTTTGTATGTACCACCTGTTGTTTATCCATTCATCCACTGGTGGACACTGGGGTTGCTTCCACCTTTTGACTACTGTGAATAGTGCTACTGTGAACTTGGGTGTGCAGATACCTCTTTGACACTGTTTCATTTCTTTTGGTTATGTACCTAGCAGTGGAATTACAGGATCATATGGTCATATTAGCTTTTTTTTACAGCAGAATAATAGTACTTTCTTAGAGAAAATTTGGAAAATACAGAGAAATATGAACAAGAAATGTAAAATCATCCATTAATTTGCCATTCAGAGAAAACAATTATCAATATTTTGGTGTTCGCAATATTTTGTGAAGTTTTTTCTACATATAGTTGGAACTAAATACTGTAAAACTATTTTATATACTTCTTTTCACTTAGCTACTATAATGTAAGCATTTTCCTCTTGTTTAAAAAAACCCCTTTGTAAACATCTTAATAGCTGCAATAATATTCCATCACATGGATAAACTCTAACTTATTTCATTATTTCCCTGTTGGATATTTGAGTTGTTCCTAGTGTTTGTGCTGATATAAAATTATACTCTTCAAACATCCTTGTGTGCAGTTCTTTGTGTTTCTAATTACCATCTTATAGTAGATCAGATATCAAGTTCCTAGTTACGGAGAGGTATTTAAGGCTCTTACCTTCCTTGCTGCCTGGCTTTTAGAAAGGTTGTGCCAGTTATATTTGTCAGAATGGAGTATTCTTTATTTTTACATCTTTGCTAATTTGTAAGAGAATATTGACATATATTTAAACTTTTACATGTATTTCTGTTTCTTATGGATGAATGTTTTTTCATATTTGTTAGCTATTTATAAAAAGTATAATTTAACATGTCACTTTAGAGGATTTTTCTACTT